ATATTTATGATCACAAAGACACAAAACATACTCTACAGAAAGAAGTTCATCTGATTTACTTCACAGCCAGTTTTACAGATAATGAGCTAAAGTTTGATGTAGGTCAAGTTTTAGACGTTTCCCTGCTCTTCTGCAGGTCTTCAAGTTTAAAACCTGCAGACTTTAAGTTCAGCTACACGTCCTCCTCTCATCACTGAGGTCCTCCATCCACATGACAGAGAGGGGAACACAAAAATGGCTCAGCTGTAACTGAAAATATGGATGGAGGACCTCAGTTTAGCTTGTTTGTCACGCTAGCGCCAAGCTAATACATATATGGAAATATAGCGTCGACAAATTACAAAAAAAGGGTAGAAAATAGCAGAGGAATAGCAGAAATAAGTAAAATTTTAGCTGAATTAGCAGAAAAAAATACAATTAGCAAGAAAGTAGCTACAATTAGCACAAGGAAGTTAAAAAGAGCATAAGTAGAACAAATTGTGTAAGATGCTGCAAAGATTCAGAAACGTTTTGAAAGATTTCAAGGTTGTTGAAAACCTCATTCATTTTCAATGGCAAAAGTGGCTAAAAAAGTTAAATAACTAAAAATAAGTATAAATAACAGAAATACCAAAAGTCGTAGCCGGAATGTCCTGAATGAGCTGAACGTTTTGATATATGAATTGTTGAAATAGCATAATAATTGTGGAACGAGAAAGAGGCCAAATAAGAGACGGAAGAAACACTGAGATGCTCAAGAGTGATGAACTCGAATTGGAAAGGTGCACTAATAAGTACTTCAGAAATAGACGGAAATCAGGTCGCAGACACACAACTTATCGGTATAATTAACAACTACAAAAACATTTACCAATGATAAAAAAAAATAAATAAAACAGCTGATGTTCCTACCTTTTGAGATCAACTTTCTTCTTGTGTTTCGGTGTGTCCCTCATCCCGTAAGGAAAGTTTTTTATGAAGTGTTGCTTAAAATCTCCCATGTATTCCTTACGTAACCAAGCATCCTAAACAAAAACAAGGCTAGCTGTCGTTTATCCATTTAAAACATTCATTTCATCAAAAAAAAAAACCCCTAAAAGAAACACGTCGTGGTGTTTGTGCCACCTCTCACCAGTGCGTCCTGGTTCTCCTGCTGGGTGGGCAGTTTCCTCAGCAGCTGCAGAACAGTCAAGACCTGGAACATGACGGACATGGCTTCTGGAGAGAGCAGGTGAGAACCCTCGGCGCTGATCCAGGAACAGTCGTTGGTGCAAGCTTCCACCCAAACCTCCAGCAGCAGAGGCACGAGGGTAGCGGCGAACCTCTGAACCGTCTCAGCCGAGTCCAGACCCTCGCTCACTGTAGCTCCTGAGTCCACCTTAGGTCTGTCCAGGAAAATACGCACATACTTTTCAAGTTGTTTGTTCAAATAAGGTGAGCTTTTAAAAGCGTGTCTAATGTTACCTGAGTCTAAAAGCGGAGTGGGGCGACGGTTTAGCTCCAGAGTTTTCATAGACTTTAGCTTCAACTTTCTTGCTGATTAAATCTTCCCAGTTGAGAAACAGAGGTGTAACACAGCCACAGCCTCTTGAACCAAACTTTCCTTCAGTTTGGATGGACAAATCACCTTCGCCCATGGGCCTTTCCTCAACGACTGCCTGCAGAAAGTGGCCGAGCCTGAAACACAAGTGGAGAAGAAAAAACAGTTAAACATCCTAATTGCTGCGTTTTTGTTTTTTTTTTTAACTTACTGACCTTGTGAGCAGGTAGTCTACGGGATAAATCTTGTGCCAGCAGGAATTGAATTTGAATTGCTCAGATTGAATCTCAAAGTGCAAAATTGAAATTGAATACATTGGTTTGAAAATAAATTTCACTAAACTGAAATTGAATTTAATAAATTGAAACAGAATTTAAAGTTTTGTATCTGAATGAATTTGCTTTGAAACTGTATTTTGGTTTATTAAAAAATTCAGTTTGACTACTTTCACTTTCAGTTCCATAATTCAATTTCAGGTCCAAAATTAAAAATTTTGTGTCACACATCCTGGTCCTTGAGAAAGCCAGCCAGAGTAACGTAGGAGGTGAGGTTAAAGTGATGTAAGCTTTTCCCACATCTCTCATACAC